AATTCGTTTTATACATTATTATAGTATTGTTTGTTTAGATTTTTTCCCTTGGGGTGGGTACTTACCATTTACATGGCCGGGAAAACCGGAAATTCTAGTAGGAAAATCAAATTGTTCGCGCTATTCCGTTTGGGAATCATCAGAGAATATGGGCTGTGTTTTGAGGCGAAGCAATTTTTCAAACTCTTTTGAGTAAGTTCAGCTTATTTGGATATACGTTGATATACGCGGACCGTTCTCCCACCCCGTCAAATTTTACAGTTTTACGTTTATGCACACGATGTCCACCGTGGTCGTTGTGCACTATGGCAAGTACCCACGTGTCAGCTGTTAAATCTGACGTTAAGATTTTCGCAACACACCCTGGGACTTTCAAGGAAGAAAGAGGAAGAAAATAAATTTTAGGAACCTGGAAAAAAATGTAAGTTCGGTGAGTTTTTTGACTAGACAAGGGGTGGTGCGAACAGGAGAAAACTATTAACTGTAGGTTTCGAATGTTACAAAGTTACGTAGAAAACATCTAAGTACTAAATTCAACTTACAGTTTCATATTGTTCATCGTCATCGTTCTACAAAAAAAAACAACAACAAGAAAACAAAAATAAAAAAACAAATACATAGTGAACATAAAAATAAAAGGAAGAAACAAACAATTACACAGATATAATAGCTGAATAAACGTCAAGTGTCCTGACTGCGTTCCTTACCATGGAGTTATCGCTATCACTAGCTTCCGCCATTTCTTCGTAAAACTCATCATCTTCATTTTCGTCACCTTCTTCATCATCACTATTTGTTATCCACGCAGCCTGGTATTCTGATGTCCCCTTTGGTACCCTCTTCAAAACTTTTTTCTCTACAAGAGCATCTGTTTTGGGTAATTATAGATAAGAACTAAGTTTTCCTCTAAAACGGTACATTTTGTAACTTTCACAGAGCAATCCTGTAAATCACCTGTGGAATCTGCTGGATAATTGTAATCACGGTTGGAGGAGTCTGACGAGCTCCGTAACCATTTCACTGTAATGACTATGGAGAGATGGACCCTTGGGGGTGATGAGTTCATATGCACATTCACATTTTCTTTAGAAACTACTTGTCAGAACAAGCCACGGGTATTGCAGCACTTACACGCGCGTTCATGTAAAATGCGTGCAACATTGTGAATTTACACGCAGAAAAAAAGCACACACACACACTTCCGGGACCTAAACTTTCACCCTTTCGAGAACGTTCATCCGTGATTGTTATAAGAAGTCTTATATGACAGAAGCTTATCGCAGTTATAGACGCAACTTTTGCAGTTGCGAATAGAAAGCCTGAAAAAATTCAGGCTTGCATAGGATTCGAACCCTTGACCTCTGCGATACCGGTGCAACGCTCTACCAATTGAGCTAACAAGCCAACTGGGAGCAGGTTGTTGAATTGGTTCGTATTAAACCCGTGAAAGGATGATGATGAAGTTATGAATATATGAAAATCATATATGAGGACTGCGGGGTGAAGAATTATTTGAAAGAAGATCACCACCAAGCCTCGGTTTGACTAGTACTTTTACCCGCACCTCGTGGTTTTTCGAGAGCGGTCCTGGAAAAAAAACTTGTTCGGTTTGACATTTCTGTTATCAATTGTACTTTAGGATAGGATTATCCACATTACACGTGGTGCGATTTCGGAACTATTTGTTGTGTTCTCGTATTTTCCACACCAAAAGTGGCGACCCTGCTGCGTGAAACTATCTTGCAACGAGGAACACTGACATTAAATGGAAGATTAAGCTTACTAACTGTGAAACATAGTGGATCTTACGCAAGAAATTACAAGAAGGCATCGAAAAAGGCAACCTACTACGTCAACGAAATTGAGGAAAAACTAAACTTTAAAGTGACACAGGATTTACGTTTGGAATACAAGAGAACAATATGTGACATCAACAAAGCACTCGAGGATTCTGCGAACGGTGTTCAAGACGCCATGTTGGATGCTGAGACTAGTTTTGCCGAGGTAAGAAAGTGGTCAAACACCCATAAACAATAGTTTATTCCTGTGCGACACCTAAGAGTGATAAACTGAAGGAGGCGTTAAGCAATTTAGAGAAAAAAGAATTCCATAAGAAAGAGGAAGATTGGTTTAACAAAAGTGTGAGCTAGAACTTGCCTTAGATGCAAAAAGCCTGCACATGAAATGAGTAAACCGCAGGTAGTAAAATTACAGAAGTATTCTATTACACCATTTAAAGGGGATAACAAAGATTGGCTTAGATTTTACCACCAGTTCGTAGTAGAAGTTGATAACTCTAAAATCTGAGAAAAGCAAATGTAATTATTCGCTTGAGCTGGTAGACGGAGAACAGAGGAGTCACATTCTTGGCTTACCACACACTGTTGAAGGCTATAAAGAAGCGAAAACGATCCTAGAACTTACTTACGGTAAAAACATTAAGGTTCTCAAGACACTAATGAAGGTTTGGAAACACTTCCAAACATTACAAGCCTCACTAAAGTAAAAGAGATCCATGAGTTTTACAAACAGTTGTCTAGAACTGTGAGAGCCATAAACACAATGAAGAAATCGCACAGTGCACAAAGCTATGTTTACAGCATTATGGACAAGTTCGGACCAGTGATAGAAGCTTTAGTACAAAAGGATGATGATTGGGAGGAGTGGGGGTTAGAGGAGCTTATAGAAAGCCTACGCAAGTACGCTGTCAGATATCCTTTACCTGAAACGTCTTCCCAGCACCAAGAAGTCAAGGAACCTGCCGGATCGAATCAGGTAAATTAGTAGAGAAGAGGAAAAAAAATACGTATGTCTGGCCCAAATCAAAGACTGCCTAGGCTGCCTCCACCTTGTGCGCCCCGTGCATACTGCAACTTCCACCAAAATAGAAGTTCAGAATGTACCAGAATACCTGATGTTGCCAGCAGAAGGGAGTTTCGTGGATGTCGAAGTTGTGATGGCAGACACCATACGTCTATTTGCGAAAGAACCTTTACAACACTTCCACCCAAGGCTAATGCTGATACTAAGCCTCCCTCAGACCGGTTCTATGAGGCAAATGATTTACAAACGACCCTGCACTCTTCAGTGCTGGCTAAAGTAAATGAAGTGCAGACACGGATCATGTTTGATAGCGGAACAGGTAGCTNGGTATACAACGTCCACGTTGAATCAAATGTCATTGATAGTTTTGGAATAGAGTTGCAATGTGTCAATGCTGAGAAGCCTGTTTTAACGTACCTGCCTAACGCGGATTTGTTCTCAGGAGGTGCTTGGCCTGAAAGATTTGGAGAATGTACACGATTCATTCCATGAAGATTTCATAGATCAGCTACAGCAATTGGAGGAAGGTATCTACTGCACAAGGTTGCCTTGGAAACAAGGCACTAACAGTCGGGAGATTAAGAAGTGTCACGCGAAAGCTGGAGAGGATGCAGAGGCTTGAGGAATATCACACTGTTATGGAGCAGCAGTTAGAAGAAGGAATCATAGAGGTGGTGCCAAAAATACCCACTGGAGAAGCCATGCATTGCATTCCCCACCAACCAGCAACCAGAGACCAGGCAGAGTCTACAAAGATGAGGATAGTGTATGATTGCTCAACTTAGGCCAATTCACAAGTACCGTCTTTGAATGACTGTTTAGAAGTTGGACCCCCTCTGCAGCCTATCATCTTTAACATTCTTCAACGAAATCTTCTGTGGTTGCTGTGTATTATCGTGGACTTCGGACCAAAAGGCTTTTCTTCACATTAAAGCGGACCCAAAGGATAGAGATGCCCTTCGTCTGTTATCGTACGGGAACCTTGACTCAAGGACAGTTACAGAGTATCGATACACCAGAGTGACTTTCGGGTCAGGGCCTAGTCCTTACATTCTCGGCGTGACACTCAAAAAACATGTGAGCCAGTATACTGAATAGTTTCCTGATACGACTGATAAGTTGCTGAACAATGTGGATGATGTCCAGTCAGGCGGGGATCACAGCGATAAGTTGATTAAGTTTAAAGAAGAGTCCACAAAGATTATGGAGGGAGGTGGTTTTCACCTCCACAAATAGCGAAGTAACCTACCAGAGATAGAAGAATGTCAGAGAACTGAAGATAATACAGTGTCCTCTCAAGCAAGTACGACTTACGCCAAGCTAGGGATAAGAACAAGTCCTAAGGAAACAAAACTACTGGGAGTTCCTTGGAACAAAACAGAAAGTAAACTTTCCGTTGGCTTCATGAAACCGTTACAGGCAGTTGCGGAGGGCCCATTGACAAAGAGGAAAAGGTTGTTAACTGTCAACGATGTATACATGTATGACTTGCTGGGTGTTGCTGCACCAGTGGTGGTCACAGGAAGATCCTTTACAGTGAAACTTGCTTACTCAAACTGAAGTGGGATGAACAGGTACCTGATGACATTTAGAGATCCTGGAATAAGTGGGTGAGAGGATTAGAGGGGTGCGTTGTGAACACAGATGTGACGAAAATAGCTCTTCACGGCTTTTCTGATGCCAGCAAATTTACAGTTTCAGCAGCTATCTACGCCCTTGTGTTTCATAAAGCTTCACCAGTTTGTCAAAGTGTTCTTGTTGCAAAGTCAAAGATAGCTGCAAGAGAATTCTCAATCGCACGCTTGGAGCTTATTGCTGCACACACACTTGGCAAGCTCTGATGAATCATGTGAAGGAAGCATTATGAGGTCGGCCAGTTGAAGAGTATCACTGTTGGGTCGACAGCACCACTGTTTTCTACTGGATTAAAGGACAAGGAACTTGGGCTCAGTTTGTACGAAATAGAACTCAAGCTATTCAAGACTGGCAACATGATAGAAGCTTTAGTACAAAAGGATGATGATTGGGAGGAGTGGGGGTTAGAGGAGCTTATAGAAAGCCTACGCAAGTACGCTGTCAGATATCCTTTACCTGAAACGTCTTCCCAGCACCAAGAAGTCAAGGAACCTGCCGGATCGAATCAGGCAAATTAGTAGAGAAGAGGAAAAAAAATACGTATGCCTGGCCCAAATCAAAGACTGCCTAGGCCCCGTGCATACTGCAACTTCCACCAAAACAGAAGTTCAGAATGTACCAAAATACCTGATGTTGCCAGCAGAAGGGAGTTTCGTGGATGTGGAAGTTGTAATGGCAGACACCATACGTCTATTTGCGACAGAACCTTTACAACACTTCCACCCAAGGCTAATGCTGATAGTAAGCCTCCCTCAAACCGGTTCTATGGAGCAAATGATTTACAAACGACCCTGCACTCTTCAGTGCTGGCTAAAGTAAATGATGTGCAGACACGGATCATGCTTTATAGCGGAACAGGTAGCTAAAACATCAGTGCAAACCTGTTAAACAAACTGAACATTAAGCCGTGCCGAACTGAAGGCAAAGTGATTGAGCAAATGTATGGGACAGTGGACAAACGTGTTGAGGTATACAACGTCCACGTTGAATCAAATGTCATTGATAGTTTTGGAATAGAGTTGCAATGTGTCAATGCTGAGAAGCCTGTTTTAACGTACCTGCCTAACGCGGATTTGTTCTCAGGAGGTGCTTGGCCTGAAAGATTTGGAGAATGTACACGATTCATTCCATGAAGATTTCATAGATCAGCTACAGCAATTGGAGGAAGGTATCTACTGCACAAGGTTGCCTTGGAAACAAGGCACTAACAGTCGGGAGATTAAGAAGTGTCACGCGAAAGCTGGAGAGGATGCAGAGGCTTGAGGAATATCACACTGTTATGGAGCAGCAGTTAGAAGAAGGAATCATAGAGGTGGTGCCAAAAATACCCACTGGAGAAGCCATGCATTGCATTCCCCACCAACCAGCAACCAGAGACCAGGCAGAGTCTACAAAGATGAGGATAGTGTATGATTGCTCAACTTAGGCCAATTCACAAGTACCGTCTTTGAATGACTGTTTGGAAGTTGGACCCCCTCTGCAGCCTATCATCTTTGACATTTTTTAACGAAATCGTCTGTGGTTGCTGTGTATTATCGTGGACTTCGGACCAAAAGGCTTTTCTTCACATTACAGTGGACCCAAAGGATAGAGATGCCCTTCGTCTGTTATCGTACGGGAACCTTGACTCAAGGACAGTTACAGAGTATCGATACACCAAAGTGACTTTCGGGTAAGGGCCTAGTCCTTACATTCTCGGCGTGACACTCAAAAAACATGTGAGCCAGTATACTGAATAGTTTCCTGATACGACTGATGAGTTGCTGAACAATGTGGATGATGTCAGGCGGGGATCACAGCGAGAAGTTGATTAAGTTTAAAGACGAGTCCACAAAGATTATGGAGGGAGGTGGTTTTCACCTCCACAAATGGCACAGTAACCTACCAGAGATAGAAAAATGTCAGAGAACTGAAGATAAAGCAGTGTCCTCTCAAGCAAGTACGACTTACGCCAAGCTAGGGATAGGAACAAGTCCTAAGAAAACAAAACTACTGGGAGTTCCTTGGAACAAAACAGAAGGTAAACTTTCCGTTGGCTTCATGAAACCGTTACAGGCAGTTGCGGAGGGCCCATTGACAAAGAGGAAAAGGTTGTCAACTGTCAACGATGTATACATGTATGACTTGCTTGGTGTTGCTGCACCAGTGGTGGCCACAGGAAGATCCTTTACAGTGAAACTTGCTTACTCAAACTGAAGTGGGATGAACAGGTACCTGATGACATTTAGAGATCCTGGAATAAGTGGCTGAGAGGATTAGAGGGGTGCGTTGTGAACACAGATGTGACGAAAATAGCTCTTCACGGCTTTTCTGATGCCAGCAAATTAACAGTTTCAGCAGCTATCTACGCCCTTATGTTTCATAAAGCTTCACCAGTTTGTCAAAGTCTTCTTGTTGCAAAGTCAAAGATAGCTGCAAGAACTCTCAATCGCACGCTTGGAGCTTATCGCTGCACACACACTTGGCAAGCTCTGATGAATCATGTGAAGGAAGTATTATGAGGTCGGCCAGTTGAAGAGTATCACTGTTGGGTCGACAGCACCACTGTTTTCTACTGGATTAAAGGACAAGGAACTTGGGCTCAGTTTGTACGAAATAGAACTCAAGCTATTCAAGACTGGCAACGTGTACCTGAAATGTCATTATGTGCCCACAAGTGGAAACCCGAGCGTCCAAGGAAGCAGAGGTGCTGAGCCCAGA